CCATTTTTTTTTTTTTTTTGAGATGGAGTCTCACTCTGTTGCCCAGGCTGGAATGCAGTAGTGCAATCTCGGCTCACTGCAACCTCTGCCACCTAGGTTCAAGCAACTCTCCTCCCTCCCTCAGCCTCCCAAGTAGCTGGGATTATAGTGTGCACCACCACGTCCAGCTAATTTCTTTTATATATCTATCTTTAGTAGAGACGTGGTTTCACCTTCTTGGCCAGGCTGGTCTTCAACTCCTGACCTCATGATCCAGCTGCTTCGGCCTCCCAAAGTGCTGAGATTACAGGTGAGAGCCACCACACCCGGCCCTGAATATCAGGTATTTTTAAAGGGCCCTTACACTGAGCAAAGTAAATGAAAAAGGAAGCAACATCAATTGTCCTTTCACTGCCCCCATGCACTGGGTGGTTCTAGCAGCTTCTCACCTGTGATGAGTGGGTCTGAGAAGTGACACCCCATGTCAGTGATGCCTTATTGAGGACCATGACTTTCCTATTCATGATCTCTTGGCCAAGATTCCACTTTGGGGAAGGTGAAGCAATAGAATAGGATATCAGAGCATATTCCCTACAGGACTAATTTAGGAAGTCTCAAAAAGCAGTCCCAGTCTGTGTCAAGGTCTCAGGCTTTTGGATAGCAGTCTCCACACCTACTTATTTTCATTAAAAGATGGAATCACTCCTTACTGGCTCATCCCTGAAAGATAATAAATAAGCAATTCACTGGATCCTTAAGACCACTGAGACAAGTGCAGGGGTCTTCACCAGTTGTATTGCTTTATTTTGCATAGGGAAACAAAGTCAAAGTCAAATAAGGAATAGAAACACTTTCAGGGTCAGGTCTTCATGGGCCACAAAATACTTTTAGGACTAGGTTCTAGAACTGGGGCCTCAGAAACCCAAGCCACGACTTGTTCTGGCAGTCAATTCTGCTTCTCTCAGTGTCTGGTGACATTCCCGGCTCTTCTGCTTGCCAGGAAGGCGAGCCCTGTGGAACAAACTCTTCTCTGCCCTTATCTTACTTGGCCTCTCAGCAGCACTGCAGGTAGATGCCCATTTCTTGCTTCAAATACCTACCACCTCCTCCTGCCTCTCACAGCACGCTCTCACTTCAAGGGTTTTCCTCCTCTTTTTCCGCATCTGCTTTATCATCCCCTTCCCAGGCTCCTCCTCCTTTAATGACCTATAATTGTTAGGCTTAGTCCTGGGCTTAGTCTTGGGCTCTTTTCTCTTCCTTGCTAGACTTTATTCCTAGGGGATCCTATTAATTCCTAGGGTTTCAAATACCATCCGGACTTTATTTAGATGACTCTCAAATTTAGAGAAAAATCATTCAAGTTTATTCATTCAACATTTACTGAGAATTTATAGTACAGAAGCATGTTTCTATATTATCATTTATAGCAACTTTAGCATCCTGCTGCTATATACTTAATCACTTAAGAATCCTTTCCAGTAAGGATTCTTGCTCCATCCTTCCACATTGCCAATCTGTCAACAAGTCCCATACAGACTAGTTTTTGCAGCATATTTCACAGCTTTACTTTCCTTATTCATGGTCAAAACCTTACTTGAGATCCTCATCACCTTGTACCTAGTGGGAGAAAATGGACTTTTATCTGGCTGTCCTGTGTCTGGGGAATACTAAATCCAACTCATTGTGCAGACACAGTGATGGCGGGAGTCACTTACTCAATGCATTATTTGGTGCCCACTATGTGCCTAGTGCTGAGGATGCAGACTGGAATAACATTGTCCTTGACCCCAAGTTATTTACATTGTAGTGGAAGAGACAGACAAGTAAGTGAACCACTAATGGGATGGGTGGTAAAGGCAATGATGGGATATACCCAGGTGCCATGGGAGCCATGGGAAGAACACTCGGAGAAGCTCTCCCTTTGGAACTGAAGCAGTTAGCCACAGGTGTGTGTGTGTGTGTGTGTGTGTGTGTGTGTGTGTGTGTAAGAGAGAGAGAGAGAGAGAGAGAGAGAGAGAGAGAGAGAGAGAGAGAGATGAGGAGGATGTATATAAGTGGAAAATAAGACCAAGCATAATGAAGTAGAGGAACAGCCATGCTCCTTCTGGAATCTGGAATCTTTCTGGGTTTTAAGCAGAAAAGTCATAAAGTCAGAAGTACTCTTTAGAAAGCTTTCTCTAATGACAACTGGAAGAAGTCATGAGAAAAAATGCTGGTAGAATTTGTTGCATTCAGTAACCTAGGCAATAGATAATAATGGCTTTCAACTAAGATAGTGGAAGTGGGGATGGACAGAGGTGGAATAATCGACAACTGACTGGCCTTGGTGAGTGATTAAATTGAATAGGACTAGGTTCGAACCTGGTGTTGGCCACTGACTGCAGGCCTATCACAAACGTCCATAGCCTTAGTTTCCCCATATGAAAGAGGGATATAACTAACTTTCAGGGTCATTGGGATGGTTAAATACAACTTACTGTATGTGAGAATGTCTGGCATATAGAAAGTTAATAAATGCTCATTTCTTTCCTTCCTGAAACATTATATTGATATTACAATTCGCTACTCCAGAATGCAGAGCAGTTCCCTGTTATTTTATTATACTGAAATTAACTTTCTGCAAACCAGTGCTCTTTAGCCTTAGCACTATTGACATTTGGAGCCAGACAGTTCTTTGTTGTGGGGGACTGTCCTGTGCATTATAGGATGGCTTCTACCCGCTAGATGCTAGGAGCACCCCATCCTTAGTCAAGACAATCAAAAATATTTCCAGCCATTGCCAAATGTCTCTGTATAACCTGGGAGGCAAAATCAGCTTTGGTTGAGAACTGTTGCTCGAGACTTTTCTGCCCCCCTGCCAACCATACTTTCAATACTGCCTCTCATCCTCAACATTGTAGTTTTTTATGACTTTCCTCCATGGATTTTAGCTGAGTAAGGTAGGTTACAATCTCACTCTCATATCGCACTGTATAATTTCACTGTATCTTGCACAATGCCTAGAGCACATCACTGAATGTCACTGAATGAATTTTCAAATACATTCATCAACTTTCTGCCATTGAGAGATTCAGGCGCAAACTTCTAGTATGGCAGGAAACATTGCATTAAGTCTATCCCCACTCACTCTCCAGCGCGATCTCATTACCTCCTATGATTTTCCCCATTCCCATAATACTCTGCCTTCCAGACTTTTGCATTTCTTGGATCAGGAACCCCTCTCCACCCTTACTCACATAAAGAAAATCAACATGGGGTTGCCAACTTTTTATTTTGCAAGATTAGTACATTTCCATAACAACAATAAGAGCAGCAGCAGTAAAAACTGTAACGACATGACATCACTTTGTTAAATAAAGGTAACTTTCATACTAAAAAAGTGGAAAAGAGAATAATCTCAGGATAAAACAAAGTAATTTAAATGAAAAGAACTTAGCTTTGATAAAAGATTCACTACATTGTTCTGTTTTTTCTCATTTCTGGAAAAACACAGGTGAGGATTTCATTATGGACCAGCATTTGGGAACCACTGAACTCTTTTCCTGCCCAACCAGACCTGACAAGGCTATTTTCTTGCTTGACCTGAACCAGGGGCTGTGTGTATCTCCACCCAGAATACCCCTCCTCCCACCCACTTCCGTCTGGAAATCTCCTAATCCTTCAAAGTCAGCATAAAATAGTAAGAGGAAAAAAGCCGTTAAACATTATGTTTTATGCCCTGAACAAGAGGTAATCCTTCCCTCTACTAAACTTACTTCTTGCAGGGCTTGCTGTATTCTACCTATTGGAGTTGTTTTTATATGGGCCCAAACCAGCCGCATCTTCTCATCATTCTCAGCAAACTGACACAAGCAGAAAATCAAACAACACATGTTCTACATGTTCTCACTCATAGGCGGGTGTTGAACAATGAGAACACATGGACACAGGGAGGGGACCACTACATACTGGAGTCTGTTGGGGGGAAATGGGGGAGGGATGGGGGGTGGGGGGGTGGGGAGAGATAGCATGGGGAGAAATGACAGATATAGGTGAGGGAGAGGAAGGCAGCAAATCACACGGCCATGTGTGTACCTATGCAACAATCTTGCATGTTCTTCACATGTACCCCAAAACCTAAAATTGCAATTAAAAAAAAATCAAAAAAAAAAAAAAAGAACTTTGCACCAAATAAATATTTGCTGAATTGAGCAGCTGAATTGTCTCCAACTTTTGGTTCTCTGTATGAATACCCATTTCCATATGAATACCCACTTCATTAGTTTTCTATTGCTGCCATAACAAATTACCACATACTTAGGTGGTTAAGACAACACAAACTTATTATCTTACAGTTCTGGAGGTCAGATGTCTGACACAGGCCTCATGGCTAAAATCAAGGTGCTGACAGGGTTGTATTTACTTTCTGGAGGCTCTAGGGGAAAATCTGGTTTTTTGCTCTTCTAGCTTACAGAGGGCATGTTAGTTCCTTGACGTGTGGCCAATTTCCATGCTCAAAACCAGTAATATTGCAACTCTCTGGCCATTCTTCCACAGTCACATCTCTCTCTGGCTGTGAATTTCAACAGGAAAGATTCTCTAATTTTAAGAACCCATAATAGATTGAGCCCACTTGTAGAGCCTAGGGTAATCATTTCCTCATCTTAAGGTCCTTATTTTAATCTAATCTGCAAAGTTGCTTTTGCCATGTAAGCTAACATATTCATAGGTTCTGAAGATTAAGCTGTGGATATCTTCAAGGACTTTTATTCTGCCTACCAGATGGATACCAGTGGGTACACTTTTGCTATTCTTTATCAAGCTACATTCCTCACTTCTATTAACATCTGACTCTTTACTCATCATTTGAAACTCAAGATAATAAAAATAATAACTGAAAGAATCAAGGATTTGAACCCCCATCTGAGCAAGTACCTCCTTCCAACACCTTTTTGCTAAAGAAAACAACGGCAAAACATCTGTCTGTGCAGTGGTTGACTACCCTGTAGAATGGCTAAGGAGAATGATTTAATCTGACATACCTTTCAGATGATATTGGAAAACGTATTGATGTTTTCTCCAACATCCAGTGATGGTTGTGTGTTCAAAGACAAATGTTCATGGCCCCATAAGACCTCTAAGAGGCAGACTCTTCTAAATTGGGCTCCGGCTTTCGTAATTCAGCTCTGCAAAGTCAGGCAGCCAACACTCATGCCTAAGTGTCAGTGTATTTTTAGCACCTTGGGACTTTCATGGTTAGGCTTCCTGTGCTTTAATCTAAGGACACATTTCTCACAAGTTCCCCTTTGGTACAGTGTTCAGATTTGCAAAGCTGTTGTGGAATAGAAAGAACTATTTTTGTTTAAAAATTTAGCATTGATTATACAGTGGTGATTCATGACTTCAGTACTTAATAGTGCTTGGTAAGTAAGGTCTTTGTGGCAGAATTCATCACTAATTACCACTGAACTGAAACCCGAAATTCAGTTTTGTTTTTGGTTTTTTTTTCTAGCATGGGTCAGGAGAAACCATCTCTCACAATAGAAAACTTGCCTTGACTTCTATTCACTATGATCTGTATAGCCTGTTGAGGTGGTCAGAAAATGCCTGAAACTGTCCCTAGCTTCAGAGTAGCCTTTACCTGCCCAAGGAGGACCTTAATGGAATGTAATTAAGGTAATTACTTAATGGAAAGTAATTCTTTATTTATAGGCAGGACTGTATATAAGTTATTTTAGACAATCTCTTCAACTTCTCTCATCCATTTGCATTAGAGGCCACAACAAAAAGAATGCTCCCCTGATTTAGGTTAGCAAAAGTAGTGTAATTGATAATCCTTTATCTATGTAAGACTGAGTTCCAAAAGGTTCATGACTGTGAAGTTGATTATCTGTGATTATCTGCTAATCGAAGTTGACAGATACATCATGAATTTACATGTGTTACCCTTTATTGATTATCAGAACAGATAAAACAGCCAGAGAGGATGGGCAATGGGTCAGATGCAGGCTTAGTGAGATCACTCTGCTTCACTACATGTGCTTCAGATACGAGCAATGCACCAAGGCACATAATTAGGGCTGGAACCCACAATAATTGAGCAAAGGGGTTAAAAAACAAAGAAAAAACAAAATCAAGGTTGCCTGAGAAAGTTTAGCCGCCGGAGAACATCATTCTTATAAATCATCTAAATATTCTACTGATAACCTCATTTTCTAAAAGTCCTCCATAGGAAATGGAAGTGCCAGAAGGCAGGGGTGGGGCAGGGGGGAAATGTGATAAGAAACTGAGAGCTTTTAGAAATAATTACTGTTAACTGGAAATGTCACTGTCCCCCACATCCCCAAGTCTCTTTTTAGATTAGCAAGCAGCAGTGACCAGATGGATACTGGGTGTTGAAATGCCTTCTCTGATGAAAGCCAACCATTTGCAGGAGGTGAGCTCCTCTTGAACAGATGGACTACCAATTTTTTGGGTTAAAGATCAGCCAGGCTCATTAAAGAAGCTGCAAGGGTTCAGCAGTTAAAATTCTTTTGTATCTTTACATTCTGAGTGACGGAATCATCTTCTGCAATCTAAAAATTAGGTTAACCTGAGGTAGAAGATTAAATAGTCCATGACATTAATATATAAGAACTATAGAAAAGAATATAGAAGAGGGAGGATGAAATCAGTGGTCACTGAAGCCTGTTACTGACATTTTGTGGCACTTTCTGGCATGTTCTATTATAAATGTATTGGCTTGAAAGGAATTAGTGGAAGAGCTTTTGTGTAAAAAGGAAATACAAGCTCAATCTGTTACCATTCTGAAACAAACAGAAAAGGTGCTAGAGGGGAAGTAAATGGTGAAAGTATCTTATCGGTATAAAAGAATTAAGTTAAAATGGAAAACTTGAGGCTGGAACCTGAGGGGAAATATTGGGGAAGCCTCAGGTTAAAAATTATATTTCACGTTTCCTCCGCAAGATCAGATCACAGAAGATTAGATTAATAGGTTCTTCCAACAGAACTACAACTTTAATTGATATTGAGAAAGAGCCAATTATTTATTCTTATTTTAGGGGCAGACTTGTTGTAATGGTGTGGAAAATCATACCTGGGGGCAAACAATGTTCCAGTCGGCCTGGAGATGAAATGCTAGGTATTAAAGTGAGGCAAAATACTCATGGACAGGGTTAACCATTTATAAATATATGAATTCATCTGTATTTGACATCACTGTCCTCTCACATCCATTTTCTTTTCATGCTAATTTTTTTGTGTGTGTGTAGCTTGGGGTTACAGATGTCTCCCAGTTGCATCAGAGACTTTGCGTGTTTCTGTTCTGTTTTTCTTGTTGAGGGTCTATATTAAATGTTTTTAAACTGAGAAACCTTTAGGAAGTATACTACATACTCCCATGCCTTCTTCAGCAGAGAAAAACTATACACCATTCCATCCTGATATGAGTCTGGTTCTCCCTTACGATTGTGAAGTGTGTACTCCGCCCTCTGTGCAGCTATGACTGCAGATGCAGGCATGGAGGGCATGGGCCACAGGGAGACAATGAGGCTTCCTCCCCTGGTGCTATAGGGCAGTGATGGTGCACTCCAGATGGCAGAACTGTACAACTGTGCTGAGGAGCACACACAGGTGGTCCCAAGGGTCGCTGAGCTATGTGCTGATGGCGCTTGCTCCCACTCTCTGGCAATGTAACTATTTTCTCTTCTGTCTTTCCCATAGCATCCATCCCAACATTGATCACAAGCTTACTCTTTCTACAGCTGCTGTTTTAAATGTCCCCTACTCTTTTCTGTCTGCATCTCTTCTTTCTTGTCTCATTGGATGCCAATAATTCTCCCATGTTCCTTAGCTCTCAAAGGCTAGCCTGGTCTGTACACATATCCTCCATGGGCATAGCGCTTTTTTTGTTTGTTTCTAATATGTCAAACAACTAATCACAGTTTTCTGTGCCTAAAATTTGGGTATTCTGTGCCTTTCAATATTGTTGGCATCAAGAATTACTCCCCCTCAGAACAGAACTGGATGTGTGAGGGGGTTATTGGCGGGGAGGGTGTGTATGAATTATCAAGGATTTATTGAAGTGGGTCCTGAATTATTTCACTTGGTTATAGAAACTTAATGAATATTTTTCCAGCTCCTATGTGGGCATGCACAGAATCAAATGAAGGGTACGGTTCTGAATGCCTTAGAAATTGCATTTTGATACATTTCACTGGATTGTAGCCAAATACAACTTCTTGTAACAGAGATCTAGAATGGCAATTTACACTGCTTGATAGAAGTATCATTTGGAGTTTTGGCAAAGTCTCATCAAGTTATACAATACTAGCAATCCTGTTCCAGAGATGCAAAATAATACCAAGTGTTCCATTTTCTCCTAGGTTTTCTTTCTTATTGAGGGATAATGAATTAGCTTATTTGTAGTTCAATCAGAGAAATATGGATACCTAAAACATCTGATGGTAGCAGTAATGAACAGCTTGAACATGGGCTGAGAGGACCAAAAAAATAACAGAAAAAGGGGTCAGAACTTTGTGTTCCTACATCCTCTTGGTGAATCCGTTCTTTCTTCCCCTCCCTATATTTTATGCCCAGGTCTGTGTCAAGCATGGTAGAGGCAACAGTGAAGCCAAAGTCATCATTACAAGTCAGAATTGCTACCTTCAACAGGCTTATTATCTAGTTGTTCAAAGAAGAAAAACTGCAATTTAAGAACTATATAAAGAAATGGAATAATTCAGGAAAAGTTATCACTTTATGGAGGGATGGATTTCTCAAGTAATAGTGTAAAAGTAAAATGCATACTGTTTGGTTAAGTGATGACTATGTGAGGATATAAAAGCAATCTATAAATATTTTAAAAGTGTAAATATCAAGAAGGGTGAAAAATTATTTTGTCTAGTACTCTACAAAAATAGCACTGAATATGGAATTAAGAAAAGGAATACATTGAATTATAGTGTGAACAGTAACATAGGAATTCTTTAAACTGTAGCTCCAGGGCTCTTAATTACCTCAAAAACACCTCTGGTTCTTTGATAATATTTGCTGTCATCATGCAGTGGTCTAGTTAATTTCAATGATCATCAAGTAATAGATCCTACTGTAATAGATCCTAAGATTCAGAAAGGTAAGACATCCTCCAGCTCTGTTGAAGCAGGAGATGAGATGGAAATAAGGGAAGAAGCACGCCACAGTGGAACTGGGGGGTCATGCTGTGGAGGCTGCACATCAGAGTTACCTCAGGAGCTCTGATGTCTTATCTCTGTATCAAACACACTGAGTTACGATCTCTGGAGCTGAAGCCAAAGTCTATGTCTTTTAAGCATTTCATGGATTTTTTTTCTGATGAGAGATCAGGGTTGCAGATATTTCCTCATGGGTTTCAAGCAAAGGAAGGGCCCACACTGTGTTTTAGAACAATCAATCTGGCTGCCAGGTGAGGAACAAAATAGGAGACTGGAGACCAATAGGAAGCTGTTTGAATAATGCAGGGAAGAGAAGATGAGGGCTTAAATTAAGGCAGCATCAGCAGGGTTGATAAAGAGAGTACAGGACATGTTCAATGATGGCTTAGTGGTTAACTCGGTATGAAGAGGTGAAGGAAAGTGAGGACTCAAGCAGTCTGGAATGGAGGGATCTGTCTCATCTTTCACCAGTGGAGGGAAGCCTAGAAAGTTAGCATGGGCAACTGAGGGAGATTTCCTCCAAGATCTCATAGGACAATATAATCAGAGAGAGAGAATAGAGCCAAGTATTGAAAGGGAGGTAGAAGTCCAAGAAGCAAAAAGAAAGACCAAAGATCACTAAGCTAGCAGAGTCAGAAGCAAACAGTGCAGTTCCTGAACCAGTTGGACAAGAGCAGTAACCAGGAGGCTGAGAGTAAAGCTGGAGCTGCTGTAGCAACTAGTTTGTGGTAGGTACTGATTTTGTGTGCCTGGGTGGGTTGGTCAAGATTAAGAAGCAGGGATGGGAATTGCAACTGTGTGGATTATGAAAGGAAGCAGAAAGAGGGGTACAGGTTAGTGGAGAAGAAGTTGAAGCATTCTGCTTTGGACATGCTGAGTTTGAGGTGCTATGGAACATTCAAATGAAGGTGTCCAGCAGGGGGCTGGGCAGGGATGAGTGA